TTGTTGTTTACATCTATTCAAATGTTCTGTTTCTCAGTGTGTTGTGCCACAGGGGGATCATCAGAAGACAAGACAAACACTGGACATAACACAGAGGTGTGTGTGTGTGTATGATGAGTTTGCATAGAACAGCTGCATCTATCACACTGTTTAACACTGTTTCATCCTCTGCAGGGATATATTAGAGAGCACCACTATGACGACATACAGATGCAGAACCAGCAGGCAAGTTTAGGAGAAGCGCTGCCGTCTGTTTATGCCACTGTCAACCTTCCCGCAGACCAGCTTCTCTATGCCAGCGTCAGTTTTCAGAAGGACTCAACAGATGGGAATGCACTTCCTGTCCTCTCAGCCTGCGACTGCTCCTCTATCAGTTGGCCTCAGGGTGCCACCCATCCTCCAGCAGCAGAGCAGACTCTTTATTCTACAGTCACATATCCTAAGCAACCATGAGACAGTCTTTCACCTGTTGATGTTCACTGTGCAGTCTGAGGGGAACACGCTGTGAAGGATTTGCTTTTGTCCTATGTACATACTGCCCTTTTACATTACATTACATTTAGTCATTTGGCAGACGCTTTTATCCAAAGCGACTTACATTTGAGGAACAACATACAAGCATAAACAGAGCATCAAATACAGATCTATAACTGACAATACATACTAGTAAGAGCAGCAATAAATACTAGTAAGAGCTCATAGTACATATCACATCAATGGGGTAAATACCAAGGGAAGGAAGTAAGAGTTAACAAAAAGTGCAATCAAAACAAAAAAGTGCAATCAATACAAGATAATTGTAGGCGATAGAAGAAGAAGAGCACAGGAAGTGTATGTTAGAGGTTAGGAGTTAGAGTCGTTATAAGAGGAAGTGTTCTCGGAAGAGATGAGTTTTTAAGAGTTTCTTGAAGTTAAAGAGGGACGCCCCTGCTCTGATGGCATGTGGTATCTCGTTCCACCATCGTGGTGTCACAGATGAGAATAGCCGGGACTGAGATTGCTTTGTGTGAAGGGATGGCAGAGCCAGGCGGCGTTCGTTGGAGGAGCTTGGCGGCCTAGAGGTAGATGGGTGCAGACCCAGTAGTCACTCTGTATGCAAGCATTAGTGACTTCAATTTGATTCTGGAGGCCACGGGGTGCCAGTGGAGGTTACTGAGTAATGGAGTGACATGCGTCCATTTGGGCTGATCAAAAACCAGATGTGCTGCTGCATTCTGAACCATTTGTAAGGGTTTCACCGCACAAGCTGGAAGACCTGCTAGGAGGGCATTGCAATAGTCGATGCGAGAGATAACCATGGCCTGTACCAGAAGCTGGGTGGCATACTGAGTGAGGTAGGGCCTGATTTTCCTTATGTTGTATAGAGCAAAGCGGCACAACCGAGAGACAGCAGCAACATGGTCTGAAAAGGACAGCTGGTCATCAATCATGACACCCAAGTTTCTCACCAACTTGGTTGGAGTGATGGTTGAGGAGTCAATTTGTAGTTTAATGTTATGGTGGATAGATTGCTTGGCTGGAATGACCAAGAGTTCAGTCTTAGAGAGGTTTAGTTGCAGGTGGCAAGCCTTCATCCATGCAGATATGTCATAAGTAGAGTTGTGTATTGTCTGCGCAACAGTGATAAGAGAAGCCGTGCGAGCGAATGATCGGCCCCAGTGAGGTGGTGTAAATTGAGAAGAGAAGGGACCCTGGCACTGAGCCTTGGGGCACCCCTGTGGAGAGGCAGTGGGAGGAGGATAATTGTCCTTGCCACAAAACATTGTAGGAATGCCCAGAGAGGTAGGATTCGAACCACAGGAGTGCTTTACTCGAGATGCCCATTGCTGAGAAGGCGGATAGCAGGATCCTGTGGTTGACTGTGTCAAAGGCAGCTGGTCAAGCAGGATAAGATTGGGCTGCAGCTTTAGCTGACCTTAGGGCTTCTGTTACAGACAGAAGAGCCATTTCAGTAGAGTGGGCATTCTTAAAACCAGACTGATATGGATCTAGGAGGTCATTCCCTGAGAGGAATTCTGAGACCTGTTTGAATACCGCCCGTTCAATAGTTTTGGATAAAAATGGTAGAAGAGACACTGGTCGATAGTTCTCAACATGAGTTGGGTCAAGTGAGGGCTTTTTGAGCAAGGGTGTGAGCCCTTTTGAAAGTGGTCGGGAAGGTTCCTGAAGCCAGAGAAGTATTTATCACATGATTGTCGGGACCACGGTAGGAGATATGGCTTGGAGGAGATTCGTAGGAATCGGGTCCAGTGGCCATGTAGTTGGACTGTTACGGGTGAAGAGGATTCTGATACCGCACTCTCTGTGAGAAGAGTAAATGAGGAGAGTGAAGAACCACTGGAGGGCAGAGGAAAAGATGTAGTAGGACTGCTACAATGGCTGAGTTTGAGTGTTTCAGATAATTGGCTAGTTATAGCCGCCACTTTGCCTGTGAAGAAGGCAGCAAAGGTATCAGCAGACAAGTTTGGTGGTGGAGGTGGAGGAGGATTTAGTAGAGCTTTAAAAGTGGAAAATAATTTCCTTGAGTCAGTGGCACTGCTTATTCTGTCATTATAGAACGCAGTTTTGGCAGCACTGATGCTTGTTGAGAAGGAGGATAGGAACAATTGGTAGCCCTTAAGGTCGGCGGGGTCTTTGGTTTTTCGCCATTTTCTTTCAGCAGCTCTGAGATCAGTACAGAGCCCACAGATGGTATCAGTTAGCCACGGGTGGGACTGGTTTGGGCGAGCAGGCTCTGACGCAAAATGAGCGGGAGACAGGTTGTGGAGGTTGCGGCGGTGTGAGACCAACGGTGTTGGAACAATGGGCTTTTCCTGTAGGCACACCGTGAACTGAATGAAATAGTGGTCTGACACATGTAGAGGTGTGACTGTTAGGCACTCTGTAGCACAGTTTCGGACAAGAACGAGGTCAAGTACCTTGCCAGCTTTGTGGGTCGGGGGGCTGAGAACCCGTGTTAGATCAAAGGACTCAATCAGAGACAGGAAGTCTGCTGAGTTTGAATTGTCTAAGTGAATGTTCATGTCACCGAGGACAAGTAGGGGACAGTCATGCTCTGGTATTGAAAACAGCAGTGTGTCGAGCTCCTCCACAAAGTTACCCATTTGTCCTGGTGGAAGGTATATGACAATCACAGAGACCTTTACCGGAGCAGACACAAAGACAGCATGGTATTCGAAGGAGGCATATTGATTCTGGGGTAGTAGCTGTGTGAATTTCCATCTGTTGGAAATTAAGAACCCAGTGCCAGTACAAAGAATGTAAACTCAGCAAAAGGACACTGTATTTTAAAGTCAATTCCATAAAATTCCAAATAACTTGCCAGATCTTTATTGTAAAGTGTGTAAATAATATCTTCTATGCTTGCTCAATGAATCATAAACAATTAATGAACATGCACCTGTGGAATGGTAGTTGAGACACTAACAGCATACAGATGGTAGGCAATTACCAGGTCACAGTTATAAAAACTTAGAACACAAAAGAGACCTTTCTACCACTCTAAAAACACCAAAAGAAAGATGCGCATGCAAGGGTCCCTGCTCATCTGCGTGAATGTGCCTTAGGCATGCTGAAAGGAGGTATGAAGGCTGATGATGTTGCCCTGGCAGTCTTCAGTGCAATGTCTGTACTGTGAGATTGTAAAAGAAAGCACTACAAGGAAACAGGAAAGACAGCTGAGCGTCCTCGCAGTTTCCATTTCTGTTATCCACATGTCTGTGAGACTTTGCTCACTTTATGTCTTAGTTATTTATTCGTTTTATGTTCATACAAATATGAAAACATGTTAAGTTAGCTGAAAATAAAAGCAGTCGTAAGTGAGAGGAGGTTTCTATATTTGCTAAGTATGTGTTGCCACCACCTACTTCAATAAAGTGAGATTCTGCATAGATACTGATTATTATCTAAGATGGTGACAAAGTTTCTTCCTTTATTTCCTGTTTTATCTGTTTGTCTTACTGATCTTGTGTAATCTTGTGCAACTCTTTTATGTCATAACCTGACATTTAGTCTACTAACTACTAGTACAAAGTCTAATTTTAAAAAAGTCCAGAGGGACATTATGGACATTGTTCTGTAAAGTAAAACTATATTTTGATGTACATATAAACAGATGAAAAGACTGTGAGATGTAGCAGGTGAAGAATTTCTCTGAATGGCTCAACACTCTCCATTTCTCTCTATCTCTTTCTTCTACCTTTGTCTCTCAGTTTTACTCTTGTTGCATAAAATAAGCAACATCCTCTTTCTGAAATGCAAATGTTTAAAGTTATGTGCTGGAAGGAGAAGCTGAAACTATTTTTTTAGTAGCGACACTGCTGTCATGACGAACAACAGTACAGAAATGTTGCTCAATGTTTGTGAAAGTAGGGTTTAAACTATAGTAAGCTGGAAAAACTGAGACAATGATGATATCATGGAAAGTCATCATCTACTTTATGACAGGTAATAAATTCTTTGATGAGAGTAAAACACATCTTGGCAAAAACTAGTTGATGGTGGCAATATGATGAAATAACTTTTTTAAAGGATTTTTTCCCCCTGCATTTTGTTGTGACAGCTGGTGTGAGTATGCTGTGTGTGTCAGGAAACAAAAGAGGACCTGTCAACATTGCCTGTAAGTACAAGTAGGATGAAAAACATCATGCACAATATTTTGCACAGAGACATGGTAGTTTGTTGGACATCAAAATAAAATAATGGCTAGAAAATCAAATACATGGAAGCACAACAACAATGAAAGAACATTTACTCAAGTACAGTACTTACTGATTTTTTAATTTTCTACTTTGAACTACTCGACAACCAGTGCACTTTTTACTCCACAACATTTATCTGACAGTTATAGTTAGTAGTTGCCTCGTATTTAATGAATTTACATACAAATCATGTGATCAGCTTATACAATATGATGGGTTATAGATTATACTAACCAGCTGTAATGATGGTTTAGTGGTTAAAATTTGCTCCATCTTAACAAACTTCACCAGTGTCACAATACTTATTAATGGGTAATAATGTTTCATTAAAGGCCCTGAAAATGTATTTACTTAATGGGCTTCTTGTTGTGAGAGATGGAGTGCGATCCTTTACATGCACACCACACATCTTGAAAACAGTTTTCAGATTTCTGTTTGAGTTTTTCTCTCTTGTCCTCTTGCTGGTTTGAAGTGGGCTGGGCTCCAGTTTAAAAACTTAAAGGGAAAAAATTTTATCAGGTTTAACAACATTTGAACCAGAATCTGGCCAAACACACACAGTCCCAATGAAGCAGAGTAAGTAAAGTTTTGAGTGTTAAATTCTTAATAAATAATAACATTTTTTTTATTATATAACAATCTGGAATATATTATATAACAATTACTTTTCCTTTTGATGCAATATTTGTTTTGATATATTTCACTTGTAACACTTAAGTAAAAAATCTAAATAATTAATCCGCCACTGAAAAAGACAGATTCTGTGCATGATAGTCCATAAAACAACGATGTGTGGCGTGGACAAGTTCGGGGTGGAGACAAAGATTTATTTAGACATGCTATGCTGCTTTGTGAAGTGCAAAGCCTTCTCTTTCAGACGTTGCGTTACAACCCCTTCTGTAGGTGACAACACACCAGTGAGTCAGACGGCACATTTGGGAGGCTCTGTTACCATCAACTGCAGGTATTCAAGAGCAGAAGAAAGCTACGTCAGATGCCTCTGCAGAGAAGATGAAAACTTCCATTGCAAATCTCTGATATCAGCTTACACTTCAGATTGCACAAAAAAAGACAGGTTTTCTCTGATAGACAACAAACAGCAAGGAGTGTACACTGTAACTATTTCCACACTGACCCTAGCTGATGCTGGAAGATACCAGTGTGCTATGGAAAGATTTAACAACAGTTCCACTGCGTGTTTAACTCGGATCGACCTGCAAATTTTGAGTGAGTATTGATCTGCTTTTAATCATCCTGATTCAAAACTAACCAACATAACACAAGCCTATACAGTCCCCTCCAAAAGTATTGGAGCGGTATGGCAAATTCCTTTGTTTTTGTTGTTCACTGAAAACATTTGGGTTTAAGATCAAAAGATGAGTATGAGACAAGAGTTCAGAATTTCAGCTTTTATTTCCTGGTATTCACATCTAGATGTGTTAAACAACTTAGGACATATCACCGTTAGACCACAGCATTCTTAGGTGAGCAAAAGTAATGGAACAAATTATCTAAATAACATTTAATATTTGGCGACCCATCAACATCACCAAACGGTTGTTGTTGGGTGTTTCTCCCTTCAGTCTCCTCTTAAGGAGGTGAAATTCATGCTCTATTGGGTTAAGGTCAGGTGATTGACTTGGCCAGTCTAAAACTTTCCTCTTTTTCCCCTGATGAAGTCCTTTGTTTTGTTGGCAGTGTGCTTTGTCATTGTCCTGCTGCATGATAAACGTCCTTCCAATTAGTTTCAATGCATTTCTCCGTAAATTGGCAGACAAACTTTTTCTGTACACTTCTGAATTTATTCTGCTGCTACCATCATCAGTTACATCATCAATAAATATTTATGAGCCTTTTCCAGAAGCAGCCATGCACGCCCTAGCCATGACATTACCTCCACCATACTTCACAGATAAGCTTGTATGCTTCGGATCATAAGCAGTTCCTTTCTCTCTTCACACTTTGGCCTTTCCATCACTTTGGTAGAGATTAATCTTGGTCTCATCAGTCCATAAGATTGTGTTCCAGAACCTTTGCGGCTCATCTCTGTACTTCTTTGCAAATTTCAATCTGGCCTTCCGATTCTTACTGCTGATGAGTGGTTTGCATCTTGTGGTGTGGCCTCTAAATTTCTTCTCTCTGAGTCTTCTTCGAACATTGGATTGTGATACCTTCACCCCTGCACTGTGGAGGTCATTGGTGATGTCACTTACTGATATTTGGGGGGTTTCTTCACAGCTCTCATGATATTTCTGTCATCAACTACTGTTGTTTCCTTGGCCGACCTGTTCGACGTCTGTTGCTCAGTACCAGTAGTTTCTTTCTTCTTCAGGACATTCCAAATTGTTGTGCCTGCTACGCCCAATGTTTGTCCAATGGCTCTGGATGATTTTCCTTCTTTTCTCAGCTTGACAATGGCTTGCTTTTCTCCCATAGTGAGCTCTCTAGTCTTCATGTTGGTTTATCCTCTTTAACAGGAAATGCAGTCTTTATAGGTTTTAACCTATTTTTAGGATGAAAACTTAGACTAGACATGCAGAGCTATTTAATGTTTGGGCAATCAACCTAAACGGCAACACCTGGGCAACAAGAAACATCTGTCACTCACATGTTCCAATAGTTTTGCTCACTTGAAAAATGGGTGGGTTCAAACAAAGGGTGGTATGTCCTGAGTTGTTTAACACATCTAGATGTGAATACCATGAAATGTCTTCAGTGAACAACAAAAACAAAGCAATTTGCCTTACCGTTCCAATACTTTTGGAGGGGACTCTATATACTAAAAACCCATTTCAACGGAACATTTTATTTAGTTTGTAGTAAAGTGTCAGCATTGATCTCTGTTTTTCAGATTGGGATGACATTAAACCAACAACAACAAAAACTTCTGACAGTGGGGACACTGTAAGAATCAGTTGTTCATATCCAGACATCCATGAGAACAATCAGAAATTCCTGTGCAAGGGGGAGAATCCTTTCAACTGTGAGGAGCTAATACATACAACAGAAATGACAGAGATGTGGTTAAAGGCAGGTTTGATATAAGGGATAACAGGAGAATGAAGTACTTCTATTTGTCCATCAAAAATGTGAGCACAGCCGACTCTGGAACGTACTGGTGTGGCTCTGACAGGACATGGCAGCAGGATAAATACATCAAAGTCCTCCTCTCTGTAGGTAAGTATACTGAGCACTTTATTGTTATAAATTAACACAAGTATTACTTATTCACTCTATACCTTTGTATTAAATACAGTATTTTATTATTACTTATTTAAGTATTTAATCAATTATTTGCAGCTGTTAATGAATATATGTATAGTAACTTAGTAAAAGTAAAAAGGTGTGTTTGTATTTTGTGTGTCTCAGCTGCATAACTGAGCGTAACAATAAAAACTGAGAGAGGGATTCAGAAAGAGCATGGCTGAAATTAGAAAAGCAATGAAACTAAATAATTATTTCCAGTAGTGGAATGTACTTGTACTTATGTACACAAGTAACATTTTGAGATGACTGTACTTCAGTAATTCCTGTTTACTGCTACTTTATAGTTCTACTGCACAACTAGAGATAGTAGATATTTTTCAAATTAAGGTTTGAATGCAGGGCGTTTTACCCACACAGCTGAAGGACACTTCATATCTGGAAAATCTGGCTTTCCAGACCCAGAGGCAGAACCAGAATCAGCTCCTGGATCTAAATCATCTACGACAGAGAGATATGAATCCCCTAATCCTCCGAATATAGGTGACCTCATCACTTTGATTACTGCTAACTGACAACACACTTTGATTACTGCTTTTCAACATAAATATACTAACACTTCTCTTAGACACAACTTCTCCTTTATGCATGAATTCTGAAGACAATAAACAGTGAACAACATGTATCCTTCATCAGTTTCAACTGTTGCCTCTTGTTTGCAGGTATGATTGCCGGAGTAGTAGTGTTTTCGGTATTGTTTCTGATACTTGTAATTGTACTTATACTGTACCGACACAAACTCCCCAGGACAAAAGGTGAGGGATGGAAATACGGCAAATTCAACATGTTGAACTTGAACTGTCCTTTGATTGGCAAAAACATCATATGTCTATTATCAGTAAACTTACTTAATTTAGATATAGAAATTAAAGGCTTAACTTCCACATGTTTTGCCTGAGGAGTAAATTTGAATGCAGACAGATTATCTTGTTGTTTACAGATATTCAAATGTTCTGTTTCTCAGAGTATTCTGCTGCACGGGGTTCATCAGAGGACAACACTGGACACAGCAATGAGGTGTGTGTGTGTGTGTGTGTATGTGTGTGTGTGTGTGTGTGTGTGTGTTTGTGTGTGTGTGTATGTGTTTTTGGGTTTGCTTACAACAGCTGCATCTATCACACTGTTTCATCCTCTGCAGGGAGATATTAGAGAGCACCACTATGACGACATACAGATGCAGAACCAGCAAGCAGGTTTAGGAGAAGCACTGCCGTCCGTTTATGCCACTGTCAACCTTCCCGCAGACCAGCTCCACTATGCCAGCGTCCGTTTCCAGAAGGACACAGCAGATGGGAATACACTTCCTGTCACCTCAGTTTGCGACTCCTCCTCTATCAGTTGGCCACAGGGTGCCACCCATCCTCCAGCAGAAGAGCAGACTCTCTATTCTACACTTACATATCCTGAGGAACCATGAGACAGTCTTTCACCTATTGATGTTCGCTGTGCAGTTTGAGGGGAAAATGCTGTGAAGGATTTGCTTTTGTCTTATGTACATACTGCCCTTTTACACAGAATATGGAAAAGTGATTCGGCAACATTTATGACTGTTGGACCCACATTTGACATTTTGGCACTAGAGTTATTAGAGTATAATGTGTCATATGTATCTGAATATGATAATTACATTTTTGAGAATACATCTGTCTCTGGCTTAGGTCTGTCATTCTTAGTAAAACTTGCTACAAATCAGTTTGGTTGATGATTCTCTAACAGATCATTATTTGTTATATAAGCTTTGATTCATTGATATATCTGGCACTATCCAGATCCAGTATCCAGAGAGGTTAAATAACACTGTTAGATTAAATAATGTGATAGGCCTACCTCTCCTGCCACCTGCTCCACATGAGCAAATTTGTCTATTTTATCCTGCACAGGCAATCAAACACATTTTTAGAAAATAATTTCTGTGATTCAAAGACTACACTGTGGCTGCTACTATTTTGAGCCTTCCCTGAATACAGGATATTTGTTTTGAAAACAGTGGTATATATATATGTATATATTTGGCTCCAGCTTCCTCCCACCGTCCAAAGACATGCAGTCTAGGTTAATTGGCGACCCTAAATTGTTCTTAGGTGTGAGTGTGAGCGTGAGTGGTTGTTCATCTATGTGTGGCCCTGCGATGGACTGGCGACCTGTCCAGGGTGTACCCCGCCTTGCGCCCGATGTCAGCTAGGATTGGCTCCAGCCCCCCCGCGACCCTGTATGCAGGATAAGCGGTTGATGATGATGGATGGAATTTCTGTGATTCAAAGACTACACTGTGGCTGCTACTGTTTTGAGCCTTCCCTGAATACAGGATATTTGTTTTGAAAACAGTGGTATATGTATTTGGCTCTGGCTTCCTCCCACCGTCCAAAGACATGCGGACTAGGTTAATTGGTGTCCTTTGGTGTTCGTGTGCATGGTTGTCTGTCTATGTGTGGCCCTGCGATGGACTGGCGACCTGTCCAGGGTGTACCCTGCCTTTCGCCCGGTGTCAGCTGGGATTGGCTCAGCCCCCCTTGACCCACGCAGGATAAGCGGTTGATGATGGATGGATGGATGGTATATGTATTTGTACAGGAGAGATTACGCTATTTTGTCCTTGCCATGTTTTGCTCTGCAGCGCCCTCTTCTGGTTGAACTAGTGATCAGCTGGAGATTGGTGACTGTTGTGACTGCGCTCCAGCAACAGCTCCCAGAAATACAGTGTCCAGTACCCATTATAACTTTTACCTGATACAGAAAAAATCGATTTGCCCTTTATATTAACATCTCATAGGTGTTTTTGTCACAAGTGGATAAAAAGTTTAATTATTTTCAGTGGACAGTGGACGTGGTGGTGTGCACAGGAAAAACTACGCTGTGATGAATTTGCTTTAATTTATCGCCCCCCAAAATGCACTCTTTCTATGAGGTCCCTCACCAGCAACAAGATAGTTTTAACCACTTTTATCCCATTGACTTGTCCCAGCTTTTAAAAACAGTATCACAGATAGGAGTGTCTTCCAGCCCACTTGATGTTATACCAACAAATTTTTATTGAAAGTAATGGATTCTGTCAGCCCCACTTGATTTCTGTTTTTAACAGCTCGCTATCTACTGGTTGTGTCCCTGATTATTTTAAAATTGCTTGCATAAACCCACTTAAAAAAAAAGTGGATTAGATTCCTCCCTCCCTCAAAATCTTAAACCAATTTCCAAACTACCTTTTATAGCAAAGATTTTAGAAAAAAAGTGTCAAAACAACTGCTCTCTGTACTGGAAAATGACAACATATTTGAAAAGGTTTAATCTGGTACTAAAGCAGACTTAGACTGCATGGGGATCTCTGGTACAGCTTTGGAAAGGTTTTCATCCTACCTGTCCAGTAGGAGGTTCTGTGTCTCTGTGAATAACTATGTCTCTTCATTTTGTTCAGTTAAATATGGAGTGCCTCAGGGATCGGTCTTAGGACCCATTTTATTTTCCTTGTATTCGCTTCCCCTTGGACACATTATCCAGGAACATGGTGTCTCTTTTCATATTTACACTGATGACACACAGATCTACATGCCTGTCTTGCATACTGAGTTTACTTACAGACTGCCTCTGTGAAGTCAAAAATTGGATGTCAAATAATTTCCAGCTGAGCTCAGACAAAACAGAGATCTTGGACATTGGGTCCTAGCAAATGGCAAAGTAAATACTGCCATCTGCTGGTTCCCTATGGAGGACTGATCCTGACAAATTCAGAAATAAATACAGAAATAAATAAATGCTCAATAAATAAATAAGCATATGATTAAATGCACAAAAAAGTAAATAAATAAATGTAAGCAGTAATTAAATTATACAAGGAGGCATAAATGTATATATCTACTTTAATTAGCTTCTTTATTATTCACCTTTGTAATAATTACCTTATTTATTTATTGTCCATTATAATCTTCAACTTTATTTATTACTTATTTTTTAAATTAAATTATTTATTGTGTTTTAATATTTTTGTCTGTTTTATTCTTCCGTTGCATCTTCTACCCTATTTATTACCCCAATGGTATTTATTTCTGCCTGTCTCAAGGGGTGAACTTCTCTCCTATTGGTGGACCAGTCAGTCGGAGAGCTCTAGGCCTACTCTGCCTGCACACATTAGTGATGGCAAGTTCGGGTCTTTTGACAGACTCGTTCATTCAAATCTCGTTCATTAAAATTAACTAATATTTTTTTTGAGTCATTTCGTTCATTTGAACTAGGCTGGTTATTGTGGCGCTGCAGCCCTCTTGTGGGCGATTAAAAAAACAGCGCCGTTCTCAAACACTGAAGGCTGCCTGGCTTGCTTTATTTGACAAAGTATAATGCACAAATTCACCTCTTGATTACTGTATGTCATCATTATATAACCCCCCCTGGGCCCACAACCAAATTCAAACCATATAAAAACCACAGAGATATGTTGTCTATATGCAATACACTACTCCGCCTAAATCCTTCCATTTTCACAATCTTTCCTAGTAGTATACAACCAGACCAGCCATATAAAGGCTTATGTATATAATAATATCATTATCTCTAAAGTGCTCATTCATACAGTAGCCTAACGTCCCTATCCATGAGTAAAATATTAGTATCAGATTTGCAGTATATATATTGAAGTAATAAGCTTGATACACTATATGAAGAAACACACTTATTAAAATTCAACCAATTTAATAATAATTTGGATCAAGCCACCAAGTTCTTAAAGAACTCCAGCACACAGAGAGGAACAAAGAAATATTAACACATTATATAAATGCAGCAGTTTGGCAGTTCTGGACGCAGAATGGGCCACATCAGGTCCTGATTCTGCAGACAGAGAAACAAACATGAGCACATCGCTCTCAAACACTGCAGGTTGTTCACCAGTCACGAGCTGTGAAACATCAGGGCTCTGTTGATAAATAATAAGTAAAAGTTACGTTGCGTTCTCTGGCAGACCTGGATCAGCTGTTACCTGTTTACAGGGCTAACGTTGCTACGTGGCTGTGTTTTAATGTTTCAATGACCGGGTCTGTTTGTTTTGGAGAGGAGACGACCTCGGAGGTAATTCGGCTCCATGTAGAACCCTGTCAGAGCTCTGAAGTGGAACCAGAACAACTCTCATCAGCTTTTTAGCTGTAAACACTAGCAGGACTAAAGTTACGGTGCGGCTGTGTTAAAACTATAACTTAGCACAACATCACTGCGCTGTAATAACGTTATGCTTTATAAAATGTCACATAATTAACAAAATAGTTATATAATGTCAGTCCAGTGACTGTTACCTGACAGCCGACCTGCCTCTCATTCTCTGGCGCTGGCAGTCACTCAGCCTGCGAGTGAACAAAAGACTGAGGAGGACCCATGTGAGCGGTGATCGAGTCGTTCATTCCTGCTCCACAGTAGGAGCTGTCACGTGACAAATGAAAGCCTCAAACCTAGAGACCCACAGTTGCTATAAGTCGTAAACTAATCAATTCTGTTTCCTGTGCTGACGGAGCCCATGCAGCTGCCGTGTGACGAGTGAGCGTAAGAGTCCAAGATCCTTCACGCATGCGTGAAAATGACCGAACCACTCACTGATTGGGTCTTATGAACGAAACGTTCTTTGAAGGACACAACACCAGCAGACAGACAGTACTTTCAGTTTGCTACATACATGGACACAGAACTGCGGTATAGGGAGAACCACACGGTCAGCTGGCTGCAGCTAAATCTGGAGTGCACTCGTATTCAATTCTGTATGGTAAATTCAGTTTTAAGGTGGCAGAGCGAGCTGACAGGCAGAGTTAGAGACTGTTTCTGTCTCAGTAGTACGCGATGCAAGCACCACATATTTATACAGTATGATATGCAGTATGAAAATAAGATTAATTGGATTATATTCACAGGAAGTATAAAACCTGTTACATGTGTCTATTAAAAGTAAAATAACACAAAAATGTCAGGGAAATTACTTAGATTTAAATACTGCAGTTGTACATTGAAGTATCTTCCTACCTTGAGATGGTATAAAACATTTCTCCTTAAATTCTGATTTGAGTTGTGTACAACTATGACCCCATGAATTTAAAAATTATTAATTAATATAGTATTTGTTCTGAGTTCATCCTGCATTGCAGCAGCTAATAAAGCCCATTTAATCCCAAAAATTGTTTCTTTTAGGCAGGCTGGAGCAGAAAACAACTCACCTTTCTCAAGTTGTACAGTAATGTCACATATGTGTATGAAGGTGGATCCAAACAAGCTAATCTTAAATGTCAAAGTAGAGAGAGCCTAGGAGGCCTATTATTTTCATTCATTACACAAGATGAATAAACTATACAGACAGTTGTAAAAAATCTTGAATGTTCCCCACTTGTTATAGTTACGCAGAAATATTAGGAATGTGGGCTGTTTTGAAAGTATCACTTTCTCACATGCTCTAACACACAGTAACGATGAGATGTGTGCTGTTCTCCCATTCTTCCTCTGTAACTACACATAAACAACAAGGCATGTAAGGGGAATATAAAGGAATTTATTTTATTATTTGGGGATTATTTTCCTCTCCTCCATCTTCTTCTTTTCCTCTGAGGATTATGGTTATGTTCTCCGCATGTCTCCTCCTGTGTTTTCTGTGCAAGACATAGAAGTACATCCAACGAGGTTAAAATCAAGGGCAACTGGACTTGGTTGAAGATACTGGAAGACGTTTCGTCCCTCATCCAAAGGACTTCTTCAGTTCTGACTGACTGGCAGGGAAACTCAGCTATTTACCTCAGTGTGGTCGTTGGCCCGGGTCATCGATACCGCTGGTTCGTTAGTGTTCCTTGTTGCGTGACGGCAGTTTACAGTCGTTGAGACTACCTGTGGCCAAGACTGAACGACCATCGTTGGTATCTTCACCTGAGGCCAATAGGTTACGTTTGTTGAGTTTCCTGGGAAGTGATGAAAGGACAGCATTGTAAGTGGGGATAGGTGGTGGCGTAGACCCCCTCCTCTGTTCAATGATGGCTTCTCGACCCTGGTGTAGATGCTTCCTTGACACCTCTTTCAAACCATCCATCTTCTCTGTCTAAAATGTGCACCTGGTGGTCCTCAAACGAGTCCCTGTCCTTCAGATGTAAGTAGACTGCGAGTCTTGACCTGAGGAGTTGGCCCTTCTGTGTTGAGCCATGCGTTTGTGTAGTGGTTGTTTAGTCTCCCCAATATACAGGTCTGTGCATTCCTCACTGCATTGGACCGCATACACTAGATTGCTTTTCTTGTGTTTGGGTGTGCGGTCTTTGGGGTGTACCAGCATCTGTCTTAGTGTGTTCTTGGGTTTAAAAAACACAGGGATGTTATGTTGTTGAAAATCCTCCTGAGTTTCTCTGATACTCCAGACACGTATGGAATCACAATGTTGTTGCGTTTGACCTTCTTTTGAGAAGAAGCTATTAAAATAGATATATACATTTATGTCTCCTTGTATAATTTAATTACTGCTTCATTTATTTATTTACTTTTTTTTTTGTGCATTTAATCAGATGCTTATTATTTATTGAGCATTAATTTATTTCTGTATTTATTTCTGAATTTTTCAGGATCAGTCCTCCATAGTTCCCTAGTGGAACACATTAAACCTATACAGCTCCTCTCCTGTGGAACCAGGTTCCAGTTTGGGTTCAGGAGGCAGACATCATCTCCACATTTAAGACTTTCCTCTTTGATAAAGATTATAGTTAGGGCTGGCTCAGGTGGTCCTGAACCATCGCTTAGTTATGCTGCTATAGGCCTAGACTGCCGGGGGATTTCCTATGATGCACTGAGCCCTCTCTCCTCTACTTTCTCTCCCTCTGATGCAACCTCATCCCATTATTGCATGTTACTAACACAACTTCTCCCCTTTCTGGTAGTCTTGTGCTTTCTCGTCCCTCTCCTCTCTCCTCCTATCACTTCCTGCAGGTTTTCTGGCTACTATTGTTGCAAGTCTTATTGTTATTATAATCATTAACATTACGACTGTTACCATTAACACTACTAAAACTGTACCATTTTTCATTTAGTCTATAGCAACATCACCTTTACCATCTGTACCTCTGTGTGTATATGTGTAGGCTGCCTTCCTCCCCTCTCTCTCTCCTTCCATCCCTCTCTTTTTCTCTCTGTTCCTCTCCTGCCCTCCCTCTCTCTCCTTCACCACAACCGGTCGAGGCAGATGGCCGCCCACCCTGGCCATGGTTCTGCTCGAGGTTTCTGCCTCTTAAAAGGAAGTTTTTCCTTGCCTCTGTCCCTAGTGCTTGCTCTTGTGGGAACTGTTGGGCTTCTGTAAATAGCATCATAGAGTACGGTCTAGACCTGCTCTTTATGAAAAGCGCTGTGAGATAACTGTTGTTGTGATTTGGCGCTATTTAAATAAAATTCAATTGAATTGAAACCTGCTGCAAAGAGTATTGTGTCTGGTTCAATAGTAGTTTAAGTTTTGAGCAGCACACCACAAAGCTTGTACAATCATGTTTTTTTACCCATTTAGAATATTTCAAAATATGATCAATGATAACTTTTAAGGACACTGAGACCATTTTACACGCCTTCATCTCATCACGCCTGTATTACTGCAACAGCCTTTT